AAAAAATTAAATATTTTAGAATCTTTAATAAAATATTCCTACTTGTTTTAACAATTGGGCTAAATTGTAGGTTTTGAAAATAAAGGAGAGATCTCTTTAATTTAAACAAAACATAATGACTATAAAGGCCAAGACATGGGAAGTCATTGTATTTTATTCTTATTTTTAATGGCTCTATTAAAAAAAAAGTCATTAAATAATGACACTTTAATTTTATTTTTTTACAATAAAAAATTTAGATAAGTTGGTCTTAAGAACTTATAAAAACTAAAACATGCCTTCAAACTCAAAAAATAATTATAGAGATACATACAAATTTTTATCTAATAAGGTTGTTACATTGATAATAAGATTTGATCTAAAGAATTTATCATCTTTATCACCTAAATTAACCTTTGTTATTCTTTAAATTTTATTTAATTAAGCTAGTATAGTATACATGTATTTGTTAGATACAGTATAGACGATTGGTGCACTCTCACGAAACCAACCCCTCTTGAGCCAAAAGTAATTAATTATATTTGATTAAAAAAATTAACAATGATCAATGTTATATACACGTGTGTGTATGCGCGCGCTCTCTCTCTCTCTCTCCTCCTGGCCCGTTGTCATTCGAAGTAATAAGAAGGAAATTGCCAAGAAGGAACGCCAATCACTTGACAGCCTCATGCTATTTTTTTTTTAATTTATTTCTCACCCGGTATTTTGGAGAGTGGCACTGCCAATTAAGCTATGCAAAAGATAGGACAGTATTGAACTTCACCCTAACTCGAAGTCCGATTTTTTTTATGAAAATGATTGGGTTAGACAACTTATAGTCCAATCTTATTTAGTGATAATTTGAAGATTAACAGGACCGGACTTGGTCCTATCAGTCTAATGCTCACTTAGCTTTTTTCTTTCTTTTTATTTTATGAGAGACAATAATCCATTTCAACATAATAAACTCAATTAAAATAGTAAAAATACTTATAATAATAATAAATCCCTAATAATTTTCAACAATAAGAAAAAAATTTTTATTATAGTCCAAATGATTTAAATTTATAATTTTAACAAAAACAGCACTCAACAAAATTCAACAACACTATATTACAACAATAATTTAGAAACAAACTCATTAAATATTCATACAATTATCTCATTGGTATCAATTACACTTTAAATATTTATCAAAAATAAATTAATTATAATTATAATAAAAAAATTAATAGGACTGGACTGGACCAAGTGGTCCGAATGCCTAGTCTTTTGTCTAGTCCAACCCGAAGAAATAGTCTAGTCTTTTCAGCCTTTTTGGTCCCGAAGGACCAGCGTTTATATAAATTGAATAAGACTGAGACCATCTCGAATTGAATTAGATCAGACAGAATTAAAAAATTTTTGTACAGTCCTGCTGCCAACCAAGAATTGCAGGGCATGGAAGAAGAACATAGGCCCAAAAAAAAAAAAAAACGGCTCCAAGATGCTCGAAGTCCACTTGGCAATTTTTTTTTGAATAATACAGAAAGATTACTGATCAAAACATCACAAAGGATGGAAAATGGTTAGTTACAATAAATATTCTTCCCCTCATCATCCACCCAAAAGGCAATTTTAGTCTTACTTAAAATCAACCATGTATATATATATATGCACACACACACTTTAAGCATAAGTGGTGCATGGGGGATTGAGGATGACAGGTAAATTACTTTCAATTAAATTACTATATATACAAAAACTAAAATTTAAAGCTTTAACTACTTGCTTAAATAATGAGTGTAGTGACAGAGTCAGGACCTGAGTTAAGAATGTAGAAAATTGTAATTTAAAAATTAATATTTAAAAAATAATATTCTAATTTTTTAAAATTAATTACATTAGGAAAAAAAATATAACAACATAAGTAAAATTATACATATTTTTATTTGGAAACAATATATTGATTTTTTTTGTCAAAAATATATTCAGAAGCTTGATATAGAATTTAAACTTAGATCCACAAATATTTTTTATTGAAACTAAAGAGTTTAAAATACTAAAAATATGGGATGCAAGATTATAAATTTTTCTTTATATATATATATATATATATAATTTTTTCGCATGCGAGGAGGTTCATTTGTTTCTCTTCACACGAACCTGACTCTACCACGGAATGAGGACCTCTATTACATTAAAAATAGATTTTTTTAATTATATATATATATATATATATATTCTTTTATTGAAAATAATTATGTTTAAATTTTAGCTAGGTGATAAATTTGAACACCTAACCTAAAATCATTTTCAATTTAAATATTAGTAGTCTTTGAAAAAAAAAAAAACTCCCAGTAGTCCTGTCATGAATGAATATTTTATTTTTGTTTCACCGGCTTTATTCTACGTTACTGTGATTTGCTGTCTTCATTGATTATAACTTGCCCTTACCACGGCCACACTTGACCAAGATTTGCAATTATAGATTGATCCTTTGGCAGTCCCGTTGACATGGATTGCTGGTCCTTCTGCAAATTCTATTCTGTTTTAAAAAAGAATAAAGGTGTAAATTTGATTATTAATTATTTTTCTAAGAGCACCTGATAACCTATATTATAAGGTGGTATGGAATAAATTTTCAACTTTCATAAACAAAGCATTTAATGCCTCCCATTAATTTTACTTGATGAACATTAGCTTTTCATGTGGGATTCACAAAATTTTTCCTGAAATATGACACATGACACTTCATCTCAACAAATAACTATTTTTTTAGGATAAAGGTGTAAATTTTAGTCACGAATTATTTTTCGAGAGGCACTAGATTGCTTCTACTCTCGGATGGTAAAAGAAAATTATCAACTATAAAAAAAGACCATCCAGCACATTCCTGTCAATTTTGACCAAATATAATTTATTTTTAAATTTATGAGATCCACAACGTGTCAAGCTCTCCGATCTTATTGCTTTTGCTCTCTGTCTCAACTTGAGAAAAAGAGGCTCAAAGAGCTCTTATTTAAAGACATTCATGAGGACGATGCCAATAAAATAAAAGAAGAATAAAAGAAAGAAGATAAGGTTTTGTTTAAATCTCCGTGACAATTCAAGAGAAGTAGCAATTTAAATTGTGATGCTACCATGACTGACAGAAGCTTGATTCAAGCTTAATTTAACCATAAATTTTTTGTTTTTGCACTTGTAGTAGCATTGCAAATTTAGCCATAAATTATTTTTATCGAAAATAAAGCGATTGAATTAAGTTTCTTCTATATGTAGTAGCGTCGCAATTTAAATTGCTGTTTCACTTGAATTGGCACAAAGATTAAAATGAAAATATTGTGCAGATTTAGGTTTTAATTTTTAGTTGCATTCATTGTGGTGAATAGTCCAAAATGGACAGCATCACTAAGGCTCAATTTTTGGGCTTAACTCAATCCAATAACCTCTCAAGTCTCGTTCTAAATTCTTTAGAGGGTCCAATAGGTCCTTCAAGCCTAAATATTAACTACTAATTACCCCCCTCAGAACTATATGTACTCTCACCACCATATGGATTAATATACTCCATTTATGAGATTCAAGGCAAAAGAGTGACTATGAGGAAAAAGTAATTAGAGACTGGAATGGAGAGAGGGGACTAGGAGGCCCTAACCTTTTAATTTTTTTCTAAATAAAACATAGGGATGTATATTTTCAACCCCCTAAAATATTATGTATACTGTTTCGTTTAGTAATTATAAATAGCTCTTGTTGCTATCTATACAGAAGTAGTTGGTGCACATTCATTCTTTTAAAACTTAAATAAAATTGTTAATGTTCCTTGGGCCAAGTGTATCTTTAACTTCAGTTCTTCTTATTGGGCTAGCATTTCAATTTTAATCCCAAACAAATATGATCCTCAAATTAACGTCTAATAACTCTAAATCCTCGATTAAGAAGAAATAGGATATTAAATTTTGCCGCACGGCAGGATCTTTCTATGAACATATTACAAGGCCTTTGGTAAAAAAGAAGATAACATCTAACCAAGCCCAAAGTTCTTTATTAAAGTATCTGCTTCTTCTTCCAAAAACATAGCATTTATGAGTCTATTTGACAACCTATTTTAAAAACAATTTTTTATTTTTTAGAATAAAAGAACAAAAAAAATTTATTTAGTAATTTGTTTTCAAAACATGTTTTAGAGAATAAAAAAATAAAACATTATTTTAGAGAATAAAAAAATAAAAATAAGTTTCAGGTATTCTAGGATCATTGTTCTGGAGAATAAGGAAAAATAAAAAAAATACATATTTTCATTATTTTTTATTTTTAGAACATGTTTGACGAAATACCAATTCTCAAAATAATAAAACAAAAACAGTTTCAAACAGCCTTTATATATATATATATATATATTAGTATAAGTAATAGGCTCTGCCAATAATGGAGAATATCTCACTCAAGATATTGAAAGTAAAAATCTGCCAACTAAATTGCTCAGTATATACGAGCTAAGATTTGAACTTTTACTCATTGTTTAAATGGTAAGAGTCCCTACCACTCATATCAATTGTGGGTCTTCGATTTTTAATGATCAACCACTTATATCAAAGGTCTGCCAACTTTGGGTCTTCTAAAAACATAGCATATATATATATATATATTTTTTTTTTTTCTTTTTTTGAGTATAAGGAGTAGACTCCACCAATAATAGAGAATATCTCGCTCAAGATATTGAAAGTAAAGGTTAGCCAACTAAATTGCTATGTATACAAGGGCCGAGATTTGAACTCTCACCCACTTCTCTAAATGGTAAGAGCCCTTAACACTCATATCAACTTTAGGTCTTTGATTTTTAATGATCAACCATGTCATTTGAACCCAACTAACCCCATAAAACTCCATATACATACACAATTCTACGCTTTTTTTGGGTGCTATTGGTTTATAAATATGCCAACTTGTCTGACAAAATGAGCTAAATTTTATATATTCAATATTTATCAATTTCTTAATTATTGTATCAAGATTTAGGTTTATGATAGTGATTATAGTTCCATCCATTGTTTACTTTATACTATTGAAGTTGATAAAATACAATACTTTTAAATTATTCAACAACACAACAATAAGGAAAACACACCGAGGATAATCTAGTCTCCTTTATATGGAATTGGAATTAAGTAGAGATGGTTCTTCCTTGCAGCTACAGCACCAAAAGCTTCATCCATATCCAATTCCTCTGGCTTCATTTGATTTGGAAGTTCCCAATCAAAGTGATAAAGTAATTTGGCAAGCGCAAACTCCATATTGGCTATGCCAAATGTAATTCCTGGGCATGTTCTTCTTCCTCCTCCGAAAGGAATATAATCAAAGTTTGTTCCTTTGAAATTGAAGCTGGTATCATGGAACCTCTCTGGTATGAAGCTGTCAGCATCATGCCAATGCTTAGGATCTCTTCCAAGCGCCCACGCATTCACAATGACTTTAGTCTTTGCGGGTATTTCATATCCATTGATCTTGCATGCTTCCCTGCTTTCTCTTGGAAGCAGTAATGGAAGAGGTGGGTGTAACCTCAAGGTTTCTTTGATTACTAGCTTTAAGTAGTTTAGTTCACTTGTATCACTCTCATGGATTGTATCCTTTCCTCTAAAAGCTCGTCTTATCTCAGCTTGTGCCTTCTTCCTTACTCTTGGGTTTTTCATCATTTCAGACATAGCCCACTCTAGCGTTGTTGATGAAGTATCTGTTCCAGCAGCAAATATTTCCTGTATATGTTGAAAACATTTTAAACTCATATTTATAACATTAACAACCGAAGAATTACTTTTATCTGTATCCATCTAGTTTAAGGGTCCATTTGTTTAACCTTAATAAAAAGTGGCTGGTTTTTAGATAATTTAAAGGTTTTCTGATAAGTGATTTATCTTTTAGATATTTTATGAAATGTAAAAAAAAAATTATAATATTAAAAAATGATTTATTATTTAATAATTTTTAGATTTTATGACATTTTTGTGTATTTTCATATTTTCATTAAAACAGAAATATACATTATTTCTAATATCCAAATTAATTTTTTAAAACTTAAATAAAAATTCTTAAATTTCTCAAAAAGAGTTTTTTTTTTGTTAAAAAAGAAAAGAAAAGATGAAAGGTTCTAAACCATTGTAATTAAAACACACCCATCAATAGTCAAGCATACTTGTATTTTTTTTTCAATGATAGATTAATTAAAATGAATTTGAGATATTTTTTTTCATATGATCATTTATAGGTTGTTTAGAGAGGCCCTGATAAAATTTTCATCCATAAATATTGTTAATCAAGTAGATCAAAGAATTTTTTGTTCGGCTTCAGTGCTTATTGGATGCTCATTATTCTTGATGAGATTTAGACTGTCTAGGGATTTAGGGTCCATTTGTTTAAGATTAAAAAATAAATAATTTTTAAAAAGTTTAGAGATTTTATAAAAAGAGATTTATTTTATAGAGATTTTATAAAAAGTAGACATTATTTTATGTTTGGTTATAATAATAAAAAAGTGATTATTAGTTACTTATTTTTATATTTTATGATATCTTTCTTAATTTTTCTATAAAAACAATTTATTATTATATTATTTTAAAATTTTATGATATCTTTATATATCCCACCTCTTTAAAATACTCTCTCTCTCATCTACCGCATTAAATACAATATTAAAACTAGAAATAATCTCCTAGCTGATACTTTTCAACAAAAAAAAAATTATGATTTTTTAATAGTAATAAAATTTACCGAAATAAAGGAGATTTTTATAAACTTTTTTATAAGTTTTATAAATATAAAATAAAAAGTACAAAGAAAAATCTTTAACTCTAGACAGTCAAGATCTCATAGAGTAAAAATCATAGAATTTATGTGCAGAATTTTTTTAATAGAAGATGTACTAACCCAAATGACAGCTTTCACGCTGTTGATAGTGATCGGAATGTCCAGGTCTGGATCCTGTTGGACCCGAAGTAGAACCTCAACAAGATTCTCCTGATCCCTTATTACTGCGTCATCATTTTTTGCCTTCAAATTTTTCAGATTCTGAGCCACAATATTGTCCAATATGCTGTCGAGCTTCTTATGCATCTTCTCTAATTTCGCCTTCAACCCAGAAACCAGATGGATCGGTCTAACCGAAGGAAACAAATCAGCAACATCAAATCCATCAGACAATTCCACTACTTCCTTGATTAAACGCAAAAACTCTTGATGCTCTTCCGAAACGTTACCAAAAGCAGCCCTAGAAACAAACGTACCAACCAACTCGGCAATTCTGGTGCCAAAATTGATTGGTGTTGGTGGTGATGATGATAATGATGACCGAATCGATTGAATGAGCTTTTCTACTTCATCTTTTCGAATATAGGAGAAAGATTGGACCCTCTTAGCACTGAGAAGCTCCAACGTGCAAATCTTCCTCATCTGTCTCCAGTAATCTCCATATGGGGAAAAGCCAATGTTTATGCAGCCATATACCTATTAAGATAGAAATTTCTTCTGTTAATAAATATTGTTTATTAAAATTAGGGAATATTTTGTATTCATTAAATATTTTTAGGATATTCCTTAATTAGCTATTATTATATTCATCTATATATTGTAAGCTTTTCATATCAATAGTATGTTTTTCTATATCTCTTTTATTTTTCTCTCATCTTTTTTCATGATATCAAAGCCAGGTTTAATAATAATAATAAATAATTTCATATCTACTGACTATCATAAGCACGGAATTACAAGGGACGACCACATATGTAAATAATAATATAGTGTAACATCATAACTTGAATATGAATACAGGCTTTTCCGAGCAGCGACTATAGCTTCTCCCTAAATCTCAATAGAATAAACCTTAATAGATAACATATATTAATAGAATAAATCACTATCTCAGCAATACCAAGATTTTTGCAGAGAGAATTTCTGGCCTTGATGCAAAGGTAAGATCTTGTGTTTTCATGATCTCCATGGCCATCTCAGAAGATGTTACAATCAGTACAGAAATTTCACCAAGTTGAAGGTGCATCAATGGTCCAAAGCTTTGGGCGAGTTCTCGTAAAGCATAGTGAGGGAGCGAGCCTAACCATGCAAGCTGATGTAGGTTTCCTATCAGAGGAAGCTTCCATGGTCCTGGAGGTAGATTATTTCTGTTTTGCCTGTAATTTCTTACAAGGAAAAGCAACAATAACAAGAGGAAGAAAAAGATGAGAAAAAAAGATGAAGATTGTATTTCCATGGCCTCAACAATGGACTGAGATGAAAGTTGTTAATTCAAGGCATGCATATATAGAGAGTGAGTTTTTATTTTTTATTTGGGAAAAAAATATAAATTTGTTGTTCTTGAACTTTCCACCATTTATATATTTTTTAAATCATGAATATTGACTCTATATAACCCAATCTCTATTGTTTCTTAATTCAAAATGAGTTTGTCTTTGTAGATTTTTTTTAACTCAAAATAGCTTATTGGCAAAATTAAGCATATAGTCCCGCGGCCACGTTCTTAGACCTTTCTCATAAATGAGTGCTATTTCTCATTCACACTTTGACTATTCAAATTTTGTTTGTCAGCTTGTTAGTAGTATTAATTTGTAGAATATGCAGCAGTAACTCTTTTAACATTGGGTGATCACCACTTAAATTAAACCTTGTCATTAAAATCATCATTATATTTAGTGGTTTATGCCATTAACCATTTTTTTTAGATTAAGCATATACAATATCACGCTAACAAATGGCCCCTAGTATTGACATGGAATTTTTTAAGAGTTTTAATTATTTTATTAAGATTTTTAAAAAAATATCTAGTGGTCATTTTGTCATGGCAAAATAGGATTTAATTTTTAGGGAAATCATAATACGCCCTACAAATTTTTTAAATCTTAATAAAATAGTTAAAATATTTAAAATTCCGTATCAATGCTATTTGTTAGAATGATATGGCATATTACTTAATTTTTAAGAAATCTGAGATGGAACTATTAAATTTATCAGGAATTTTAATGACAGGGGAATCAATTAATGATCAAAATATAAAACTTCAAGGTTTTAGCTTTAAATATTTAAAAGTTGGGATATGCAACTCACCTAAAGTCCAACAAGTTATTTATATATTTTAACCTTTTAATTTTCACATTTTGTTGGTTCGGATAACTTGAATTGATGAATATGATATTATTTTTCAACTATTTCGCAGAATAAATATGACAATTTATTTATTCAAACACCACATTCTTGAAATTTTGTGTGTGGACGACCACGTGTTTGACCTTTCTTTGTAATTAGGTTTCTTTTATTTCCTTTTTTTTTTCAAAATTCTTTTCTGAAAGGTGGTGGTGAGGGGGATGTGACAACCCATGTGTGATTCGCTAAACATGCTTAATTTAAATAAATTCAAAGTGTGAATAAGTAGAGAATTTTTTCCTCCGCCATCTTGCGTTGCTCTTGTTGAAATATTTGAGGAAATTGATAAATCTTATTGGACACGTGATAATATTTTGTGTGGGACTTTTTCTATGTTGAAAATAAACAATTCAAGTTTTTCATATGATCTTAATTCATCAATTTTAAAAATTTGGAGAATAAATTATGTTATTGTAAATGTTTTATAATCCTAAAACACTTTTTTTTTTCCATTCATAACAATTTATTTTAAAAAAATATTGATAATAAATATCAAAACCTCTAAATAGCTAATGTGTATAAATGCTACTGCTGAAAAGCGTAAATGAGCCGCCTAAATTATGATGATTTTCCACATAGATAAGGAATATGAAAGAGGTGGGGGCATTTTTGAGGGGGCCGAATATTTCACAGTTATAAATATAACCGTGATACTTAATTTTACAAAATACGATGGTTTAGTGAAAAGTTGTCAAACTTGATCACTTAAAAAAAAAAAAAAAGTTGCTTTAGGCGAGGGTGGAGCGAGAAAATTTTATTAAGAGAAACCAAGATGATAAAACATATATAATAATTAAAGAAAAGTTATATATATATATATATATATATATTACCAACATAACATAAATATTTTAACACACACACACACAAACACACACACACACACACACACACACATATATATATATATATATATATTTAATTTTATAAATATATCATAAAAAATATATATACCTCAATCACTCGCTTTGTGCCAATTATGGTGACGCATGTATCAGTTTCTGTTGTCAAAATAATTCAATTATTATGAAATTTCGACATGACATGGTATCTGATTGGAGTAATTTAAGTGCTTATATGAAGCTTGTTTTAAAATCTAACTAATGATATAGTTTAATTTTGATCCGATGTTCCATTTGAAAATTGAACATCTAAATATAAAATGACCATTATATGTCATTTTCACCACCCGAGCATTCCAAATCCAAACCAATTGTTATTAGTCACTTTTAGGGTCCTGATCATGTCCAAAAGGGTATTTAACACTTGATTAAACAATTATATCATCAATACTACACATAAATGCCAATTTGGCCACCCAATTGCCCTTAATTATACAAGTTAGGGCCCATTCTCACATATGCACCTACATAAACATCATCAGCCAAATTCCATATAACTGTTACTTCCAACACACACACAATCATACTCTTACATTAATATCTTAGCCCTCCTTATCACATTTTATATCATTTCACCCATTATCACATTACAAGGCTAGGATATGCACATAACATGCACACATGTACATCCAATTATGCTAATGTGTACTCGAGAAAGGACACCTAAGCAATAACTATAATTTTGAGGGTTAAGGGAGTTGATTTGGGATCTAAGTATCCTTAGAATAGGGTAATGACCTTAAGTTTGGACCTGAATTGAGGGGGATTGAATTGTGAGACTCACCTAAGTAGGGGGTTAGCTCGCTAGGGCGAGAATGGAAGGATTCACTGAGGTGAGTGGAACATCTCATCAAGGCGAGCAATGCATTTCATGAAATGTATAAATTGACATCTCAGTAGAAAAATAGAACCACAACTCATTTTTAAACTTTCTGAAGGTGTGATTTTCGTTAGAGCTCTACTAGGGTTAGTCTCCAGTAACCTAAGGAGCCCTGATTGAATCAGATTTCACTAAGGTAAGTCCTCCAGGAAAAACATACACCTTCTACACCTCTGTTCTATAGATTAAATGTCTAGGGTCTTGCCTTGGGGTTGAATCTTATATCTAAATTCTTAGAATTTATCCATCTAAATTTCAAAAAGAGTTATAACTAGTTCAATTATTGATATAAAACCTATCTATAGTATGAGTTATAACTAGTTTAATTATTGATATAAAACATTGTTTGTGAAATTATTTGTACTATTGAGAAATTGATTTGTGTGTACTACATTCAATGATGAAATCTGAATCTGAATGAGAAATATTGATTCTGTGAGATGTTATAAAATTGATTTGAGCATGTGTGGCAAGCTTATTTGGTATTGGGTCTGTTAATAATTAATTATATATGTGGTAAATTACTGTACATTAATAATTGGATTATATATATATATGTATATAAACTCTGAAATGAGAAATTGTTCTAAATTATCTGCATATCTATAAATTTAAAGATATAGATGCATTCATAATGTTAGGAATTCACTTACAGGGGAGTTGTAAATTGTAACATCCCAATTTAAATTTTAATAGTTAATTTGGATTAATAGAAATTTTTTTAAAAAATAATATTTAGAGGTAAGAAAATTAGTAAGAGATGATTATTAAATCTAACTTAGGATATAATTCTAAAAAAAATTTAAAAAAAATAATAATTAAAAAAATAATAAATAAATAAAAATATTATTAAATTATTATTATAATAAAAAAAAGGGAAAAGGTATTAAAAAAAGGGGAAGAAGAAGAAGAACAAAATTGCTTTCGGCTGCCCACAACAATCATTATATATAATAATAATATAAAAAAAGGGGAGAGAGAGAAAAGAAGAAATAATAAAAAAAAAGATGTGGGACCCACTGAATTTTTATAAAAACTCACCTGTTCCTTCGTTTTTTTCATTCATTCCTTTGTGCGTGCTGAGGTAGAGAGAACGTGAGTCGTCGGTGCGAAATATCTAAATTTTTAAGGTAAGAGTTTTTAATAGGATATTTAGGGTGTGATTTTAAGCTTTTCAACACTAAGTAAGTGTTTTAAAAATTTTTCTTAGTCATCCTTCTTCTTTGGTTTCTGAGTTTGTAGTGGTAGAAAATTTAAGATCTGAAAGAGGGATGAATTTATGTTGAATAAATATGATTTTTGAGGTTGTCAATAGTATAATAAATGTTCTAAAGTATAAATTTTTTGATGATCTTTGAATTTTTGGCTTATGAATCAAATTCTAAACTAGATCTGAAAATATATGTTGATTTATTGAGGTTTAGATGATTATTTGAGATGAGAAATGAATTATTATGGCTATAGGATTATGATTCTAAGCTAGAGACTCAATTTTTAATTTTTGAGTATTTTAGGTGCGAATTTATAAAATAAAAAGAAAATTTTGATAATAGAAATTAGTTTAAAAGTTGATTTTTAGATTATTAATGTTTATTGATAATTAAAAGAGGAGTTAAAAATTTTACTTAATAGTATTGACTCTAGATTTGTATTAAGATTGAGATTAAAAATTATGTTATATTTTTAATTCTATTATTAGAATTATTTTATTAGTTTTAATTATTTTATTAGTTTCAAAAATTGAAACTAATATTTATAAATAATATGTTATTTGTAGATTGTATTACTGGTGAAGATTGTGGTAAGAGAGAAATTTTAAGGAATAATTTATTGAAAAAGCCACAAGGTAACCATGCTTTTAATTTGTGATTAGTGTTACTTCTTGTTAATTGGGTGATTATTGAGAAAATTATGAATTTTGTAATATTGTATAATTGTGCAATATTATTATGAATTTGTTTAATTATTGTGGGAGGTGTTGGGAGACTTGCTATTATTGTTGTATTTATGTGCCACGTGGTACGCCCCTATTGGAGCTCAATAGGTGGCTTGTAAGGGCTCGGGCTAATCTACCTTTGGCCGGGTAATTTAGCACCGAGTGAGGGTTAGGGTTCGAGGTTAATGGAGGGATATAAGGATGGTTGTTTGTGTGTATTGTAATATTTTTTATATTTGTTGGAATTATATTATTTTTAATTCTCATTTAGTAAGCACACACTTAACTGTTTGTATACACTATCATAAATTGGCTTTGGTTACTGGGACTTTTAA